AAAAAACGTCACAAGAAAGATGGGGGGTATAGATATATCTGCACGATGTGTCGACAGCAGAAAAGTAAGGCAACTGGCCACACACAAGTGAAGGGCAAGTGGTATTGCCCTTCCCTTGGGATAAGTGTGGAGGACTGGAAGGAACAGATGAAAAATGAATAGTTACATCCAGTCCTCCCATCATCCAGAAGTCCTTAGACTTTGGAGAGTTCTACACTGCCTTACGGTTTATCCGCTTGTACCTTCAAGTTCTTTTAAACTTTTATATAGCTCTTAAAATCTTTAAAGAAACAAATGTATTTTAAGATACAAAAGTATATCTTTATACCGGCTGTTTTTCGAGTTATTGTTTTTATCTCTTCTTGGTGCTGAAAGAAAAATCATTTGTAGGACTAGCTTTTGCATGTTAAGTCAAATTGTAATTATTTAATCATTGTAAACAACATGAAGACAAGTGAAAGTTTGTGACATTCTGAAGGGTGGGAAAGACGTTCTGGCAGGGCTTGAGAGCACACACCCCTCCTCTTGTAAAGTCACTGCTATGTACATGTATGCCATGCGTTTAGAATTGAAACTTGATGTGTATGCCATTGCCACACTGTGGCTTTGCCATAGTACTACATATGGCAATGACGCAGGTGTGATACAGGTGTATCCAGTGGTGAAGTCAGGTGTAATTCTGTCACTTGCACTGCAAAAGTTAGACCCGACCCAACTAGGAAGGGCAATTTTAGTATTTCTCCCTGGTGCTGAAAGACAAATCATTGGTAGAACTACATTTTTTATATATTCACACGGGTTGTTTTTCTTGTTTTTGTTTTAAATCTTTATGGTTAGAGACAGCATCTCTCCTTGGTGCTGAAACATGTGCTTTAACATGTTTAGTCATTTTTCTTTTGATGAATAACGTCATGAATACAGGTGACTGTTGGCTTACAAGATGTGTTTGTCATCTCTACAAATGTGCAAAGAAAGTTACGCTTCAATGCAGTGTTTTCGTCTTTTCTTCTTCTCCCTTATTCCTTTCCTTCTCTTTCCCCCTTTCTCCCCCCTCCTTTCTTTTTCTTCCCCCCTCCCAGCAGTCTCTTATCCCCCTTTCTTGGCCCTGGAGACGAGGAACTGGCCTTCATTTCTTGTTCAACAGGGTTTGTGATGTAAAAATTTGAAAATAAAGGAATCTTGTTTTTTTTTGGGGGGGGGGGGGGGCGGCACCTTGTTTTTTTTTCGCCCCCTCGCATTAGATTTGGAGTCTGCGCAGGATGTCATCCATAAAATTTAGCTGCTGTGGTCTTAGTAGGGTATAGTTAGGCAAAGAAACCGAAACACCCCTACCCGCTCCTGTACGCTGTGTTCTTCCGCCGTCCTTTTTCTTACGTCACCCGACCTATTTTTAACAGTTTCTCTTGTTAAAAAGGAACTTGGCAGCCCCCATGGTTTCACATTCAACTTCCCACCCTCTGAAACGACACTGTCTTTTACAGGGCACCAACATCAGATACTAGGCTGAAGATAGAGCTGTAAGCGGCCGACCTGAAGTGAAAATGGCGGACAAGAAACGTGAGTTTTTCTGATTCAAGTTTATAGCGTTATGTTTGTTTTATAATAGAAAAACTGTGCGACCTGTGGTCGAACCTTGAGATATATATGTCCTCGTCTCGTGAATTGACCTCTTAATTTATTGAAGGATCTCTGAAATAGTTTGAATTGATTGTGATCTTTCGCGAGTTTTAAGTTCTGACTTAGCAACAATAAATATATTCTGTTATAACGTTTATTACAACGTAACGTTGCCACGGTAAGATGATTTTAAATATCATCCGTCAGTTCTTTGTATACTTCCGTATATCATTTCCGCATTTGACTATTCAAGACGAACACATTCTACCATTCTACTGTAGTGCTATGCTTGCCCTGCTGTATACGTAAGGCTATGTTGATGTGATTATATGGATGACATCCGCGCGCGCATGAATTTTCGGCCGTTTCCAAAAAAAAGAAAGTTTTCAACCAAACTGTAAATCGTACGAAACAGTTGCAAAATGAGCAAATATATACCGTAAAGATATTGGAAAACGATACCAATGTCGTATAGTGCCAAAACAAAAATAAAAAAAAACACAAAAATGTAAAGACACATAAAAGAAATGAATTCGAAGACTAGAGTATTTGCGATTGCTCCGTGTAATCTGTTCAACCTTCATAATTAACCATGTAGATTTCATAATGAAAGCAACTTTTTTTGCCAAACTTTTTTTTATTCGCATGCACACTCTCATCAGTTTTGGGTTCCCAGAGAATGTCATCCATACAATTAAATCAACATGGCCTAAACTTCCAAAATGTACACAGCTACGTTACGTATACATAAGTCCATATGGTAAAATCGACTATTATCAAAACGCTGCCCTTCAAAAAACAATGATTCTATGCATATGTGGCGTCAGAAAGTTTAAAGTTACGATATGTCCCTAGGATATTTTTATCACGCCATTTCCTTTGTATGTATGACGTACCGTCTCTTCCAACGATTTTTAGATTTCATAATGAAGCCTACATTTTTCGCACACTTGCGTGAGTTTTCATATGAGTGCCCATAGGATGTCCCCCATATAACTAAATCAGTATGGCCTAATGATCTGTGGGTAATGATGGTTGCACTTGCACTACCCCTCATCTCCAGACAGTACGGAATCTTACATGCAAACACCAGTCTGTATGAAAGTACACTTCAAAGTTAGGGACACGTCCTTGGGCCACAGCTAGCGTCGACTTGAGACGATGCCCCCACCAATGTCAAACTGAAACGCTACATCCTTAATCCAGATGTGTCTAAAATCTCGTATAATCTTAAAAAGAAATCATTGTTGGAAGAGACAGTACATGATGTCATATGGAAATGATGTAATCATAGGGTCTAGGGTCACACATCGAAACTGAACTTTTTAACATAATCGGAAAAGGACTAAGTACTGCTTTATCATTATAATAACACTCAAAGTCTGTATGAATTCAAGATACACTTCAAAGTTATAGGAAAGTCCTTGGGCCACAGCTGGTGTCGACTTGAGACGATGCCCGCACCAATGTCAAACTGAGACATCCTTAATCCAGATGTGTCTAAGATTTTGTATGATCTTAAGTGAAAAGGAATCATTGTTGGAAGAGACGGTACGTCATATACAAAGGAAATGATGTGACAAAATATTCCTAGGGTCACACATCGAAACTGAACTTTCTCACACCATTGAACTCTAGGACTTTTGTAACAGTCACAGTCTGTATGAAAGTACACTTCAAAGTTAGGGACACGTCCTTGGCCCACGGCTGGCGTCCAATTGAGACGATGCCCGCACCAATGTCAAGCTGAAACGCTACATCCTTAATCCAGATGTCATTCTTCTATCGTTCTACCTTCTACCGAAGACTCTCCTACTAGCACGGTCGCATTACGTATATCCGCTTCTTACGTCATATTCGTGATCATCATAAGAAGTGTGAAAGTCATTAATAGAAATCCGCATAGGGTTAAACTGTGCTCTGCTACCTCAAGCTGAATGAATTCTCATCTTGTCGATCTTGTTCCTCCGTCACAGAATATTTCGTGAAGACCTTCACAGCCTCACGCAGGAATGCCGGGACCGACGCGAACGTTTACATCACGCTGATCGGAGAGGCAGGCACCACCGCCGAGGTACAACTCAAGGCCGAGGGAAAGGTGGACCCCTTCGAACGTGGAAAGTGAGTTCACAGAACTGGTGTGATAGAGAAAAACGGCTGTATGTACCAATCTTGAAAGTTCATCTGTGTTGGTAGAAGTCATTATGAAACAACATTGAACTGCGCATGCAGTATCCAACACAAGGAAAATTGTAGATTTTGTACCTCCGGGTATTGAAATGTGTGTTGCAGAATGTTGGGTGCATGTTGGGACTGTTCTTTAAATTAGTGAATTCGCGCGAATACCATTTTTTCGAAAAGTTTCGAAATGTTTGTAATTGGCTAAATGATCTGTGAAATCACTAATCCCCCTAGCCGACTGGAGCCCAAAAATAGAAAGGACAGGGGGCATCCCGTGGCGAATCTGGCTGCCCGACCCTCAGCGACCAGCGATAATGTAAACAAACACCCGCTCCGGGCGCCAGCCGCCAATCGTCCGGTGCGCGTGTTACCCTTCTAACATGTAAGTAAGGCCATGTTGATTTGATTATATGGATGACATCCTCTGGGAACCCCAAAACTGATGCGCGCGTGCGAATAGTAAAATCTGAGCTTTTTATTGTATACTTTTATATGTTGTTTGTTATATACATGTAGTTGATGGTGTTGAATTTTATGTGTTAGATTTTAGCCTTCCTGGTTGTGTTAACACAGGTCAGTATTTTCATCTGCAGCCTATAACATGTACCCACGAACGGGCCGCCACGAACTTATGCCACAAGGAACTCGTAATGAAACTCAGAATGACAACCGGAGCCGTTAAATGGAATCAGACGTTAAAAATAACTGCTGAAGTACCTCCCCGCATGTGCAAGTCATCCTTATTGTCACTTCCTCCATTTTCCGCCGATTCTTCGTATAAATTGGGGAAGTAAAGGTCTGAATCCGCGGTATTTGTAAGTTAGAAGTCGTAATATACGCCGAAAACAACCAACACAAAGGTTGCGCAACAGTACGTTGACCCCTGACCCATTGGCTAACCAGGAAGTGCCGATTACGTGTCCTGTGAACGCGTACTAAAGTATCCCCCCAGCGGGTCCCACCAGGCACGATAATGAGACGTTGATTGACGGCACATGTGGTTCACATCTGAACAGTTTCAAAGAAAGAATTTATCGACAATGCTGACACCCCTCTGTGTGAAAGGTCAGATCAGTGGTCGCGACCTCAATCGTCCTTATACATGCAAAGGTCAAAAGCTGAGGCCCACTTTCACACTGAAAGGGGTGTCCATCGGCGGTCTAAACGCATCATTTTCACGCACTAAAACACACATACTAAAAAACCAAAACAACGTGCACCATCTACAGCCCAACAGCAAAGCGTATACCAAGTCCCAGACATATCCGTCCACCCAAACGCGAGAAACGGGTGCGAACGCAATTTTCGTCTTCCCTCACAAAACCTCCGCGCTCGGGATATACATCCCTACCCGGAGGTAACAAGAAAATGGACTCACCCAAATTTTCGACTGTACAACTCCAGTCTCTCTCAAGGAATGAACAATCCACCGCTTCCGTGACGTCACGCAGATAACACACGTGACTCCTTGAGCAGTGGATCATAGGTTGTAGAAAGTCTGTGGCGCCCCCGTCCCTGTTGAGGCTGTATGTACGGTTTAATAATAGGCGAGGAAAGTAGAACCGATCTGTCAAAACTGCCGAATCTAAGATTCCTGCAGCTGGGGGAAAGACTTTTGTACAATAGCAGCTTCTGTGTGTCAAGTCTTTTTTATGGACTTTTTATGTGTTTCTTTGCTAATCTTCCATATGATATCTCAGACTATATCTCCGTTCATAGATATATAATCTGTTTGGGGTGGGGATAAAATTTTGAAGGATAATTCTTGCAAAGTTTTATAAAATTTAGAAGTACTTTTTTCTTCTTGGAAATTATCATGACCAATTAAAACGACTTCTCGTGATTGAAGTCTCGTGAGATTTTTTTGTCCATTCTCGTCCCCAGGATGGACATATTCCGGATCTGGGTGGACAAGGACCCAGGGACCCTGAAAAAGATCCGGATCCGGCATGACAACAAGGGGGTCTTTCCCGGATGGTATCTTGACAAGGTAATACACGCCGCAGACTCTCGAACTGAACTTACAACTTAGTAAATCAATGTTGGAAAAGACGGGAAGACGCACAGGAAGAAACTAGTTGCAAAGCACCAAGGCAGTATTTTTTCTGAGGCAAAACTAGGTGACCTTTTAAATGCTGACTATAGCAAAAAGGTGTTAGTTACATATGTTAGCAATGTTATTACCTTTGCCAAGAAGGTTATGTTTTTAGTAGTGTTTAGCCGTCTGTCTGTCTGTTTGTTTGTTTGTTTGTGAACAGCATAACTCAAGACACTTTATATGCATTGTCATGAAACTTGGTAGGTGGGTGGGTCTTGATAAGACCTGGAAATGATTAGATTTCGGGCCCCCAGGCGGCTTTTGTTGGTACTGCAGCAGAACTTCCGGTTTTGATATCTCATGATCTGGACATGCTAGTGTCACGAACTTTGGATGGTAGATAGCTGTTAGGTTTAGATTTTTCCCTTTTTTTCTCCACCCGCCAGGTGAGTGTGATAGAGGAGGGTAGCGGGGTGACCAGCGTGTTCCCGTGTTACCAGTGTCTGTCTCGCGTGTGCAGCGGGATCGACCTGGAACTGCCGGTCAGCCAGGACACGGAAGGTTCGTCTTTTAAAGATCATATACACCAGTTTCCCATCCCCAGAATGCAATGCAAAAACAGGGGGCTAAACCTCATTTGCATAGGACAGGAAGGCATCGGAATGATCCTGGTGACGTTAAACAGCTTGTTTTTCTGTGTGTTTTGAGGTGTTGGGGCATTTCATGCTCAGGGTAAATTAAATTACTATGGGTTGAATCTGACAACAAACAGAAAATGAATTTTTTGGAATGAATTGTTTGTAACGTATAGTGGTAGCGCTATACTGATGCTGTAACGTTACAAACCACATGTTCCATGTTGAAAAGAACGCAAAAACTTCATTTTCTATTTGTTGTCAGATTCGACCCGTAGTGATTTAATCAATGTTGAGCAAAAAATGCCCCAACACCTCAAAACACAGTGAAAAGCAAGCTGTTTAACGTCACCAGGATCATTCCGATGCCTTCCTGTCCTATGCAAGTAAGGTTAGACCCCTGTTTTCGCTAAGCATTCTGGGGATGGGAAACTGGTGAATGGCACCGTGAAAAGTCTGTAAAATACTCCATTTCTCAGTCATCATGATTAAAAACAACAGAAAGTGACCATATTGTATGCAAACATGATGACTGAGGAATTGAGCTTGCACGACCTTCCAAAAGTACATTTTTGGAGACGCTCGGCAAGCTTCCCAAACATCTCTATTTGCATCTTTATGTTCTACGAGGTGACGTAGGCTCAGGAGAAAAATACAGTAGTGCAAAAATAAAACGTTTTTTTTCTTTTTGCCCTACCAGCGCGACAACTGAGGATCAACAACGTGGACTTCCAGCGGGAGCAGAACGCACCTCTGCACCACACGGACGAGTACGACTGCCCTCTCTTCGTGGTCCGCAGGGGGGCGCCCTTCCTCGTCAAGCTGGACTTCGACCACGGCTTCGACCGCCTGAAGGACAACATCTTCTTGGAGTTCCGCACAGGTGAATACTCAAGAAAGTTGTTTCAAGACCAGGGTTCTTCTAAGTCCATTTCCCTCACTAGGATAAAATTGTCCGGATCAAGCCGAATAGATTGGCTTTGATCCGGCTCGATCCGGACAACTTTATCCCAGTGGGAAAAATGCCGATATTGTCAATGCCACTGTCGTTTTTTGTATCACAAGTTATAGATGGTACTGAGCGTAGGTGAATAGATATCTGTTTGGAGTTGTAGTGTTTTGGTATATTATGAAATGGAAAATTTACAGTCACATTTTGTTGCGTGGCACTGTTAAAATACGAGTGCACATTGTCCATGATACTGTTTTGTTGTATATTCTTTTTTTTTAATGAATAAAAAAGTTACATATGGCAACGCCCATTTAAGAGATGAAAATGCGCATACGTATACGTATTCGGTATATTTCACCTGCTAAAATGAATAAATAAATGATCAAACAAACCAACTTACAGGCAATCTGGACCGCCCCTACGCCAACAAGGGTACGGAGGTGCGAGTGCGTGTCGGGGGAGGGCCGGCTGAGCACGGCTGGGAGGCGGAGTTGTCCTCGGTGAAGGAGGGCGAACCCTCGGCGGTCGTGTCGGTCACGCCCCCGGCCAACTGCCCCGTGGCGAAATGGCGGATGTCTGTGGAGACCATCTCGGAGGGTCTGTCGTTCGAGACCGAGAGTGATGACTACGAGCTAGTCATTCTCTTCAACCCGTGGTGTGAAGGTTTGTTACTTTGTTTGATAATGATACGAAATCGACAGTGTATACTCATCCTCTTGGCGTCCTTGTTTACTATACAACATCTACGTAGCTTCAGTAGCTTCCGTAACACCTAGCTTCAGTAGTGCACAGTGAACCAGTAACACCTAGCTTCAGTAGTGCACAGTGAACCAGTAACACCTAGCTTCAGTAGTGCACAGTGAACCAGTAACACCTAGCTTCAGTAGTACACAGTGAACCAGTAACACCTAGCTTCAGTAGTGCACAGTGAACCAGTAACACCTAGCTTCAGTAGTGCACAGTGAACCAGTAAGCTTCAGTATTACACAGTGAAGCAGTAACACCTAGCTTCAGTAGTGCACAGTGAACCAGTAACACCTAGCCTCAGTAGTGTACAGTGAACCAGTAGCACCTAGCTTCAGTAGTGTACAGTGTACCAGTAACACCTAGCTTCAGTAGTACACAGTGAACCAGTAACACCTAGCCTCAGTACTGCACATTGAACTAGTAACACCTAGCTTCAGTAGTGTACAGTGAACCAGTAACACCTAGCTTCAGTAGTACACAGTGAACCAGTAACACCTAGCTTCAGTAGTGCACAGTGAACCAGTAAGCTTCAGTATTACACAGTGAAGCAGTAACACCTAGCTTCAGTAGTGCACAGTGAAGCAGTAACACCTAGCTTCAGTAGTACACATTGAACTAGTAACACCTAGCTTCAGTAGTACACAGTGAAGTAACAGTTAGCTTCAGTAGTACACAGTGAACCAGTAACACCTAGCTTCAGTAGTACACAGTGAAGTAACATCTAGCTTCAGTAGTGCACAGTGAACCAGTAACAGGTAGCTTTAGCAGTGCACAGTAGTGCTCTATGCCTAGAAGTGGTCAACACCGTTAAAACAGCAACTTACGTGTGATTTCTGTTGCCAGATGACGAAGTGTACCTGGAGGGGGATGACAAGCGGCAGGAGTACGTCCTGACGGAGCATGGGAAGGTGTACCAGTCATGGAAGGTGGACAGGAACACCTGGCAGAAGGTCTTCAAAGGAAAACCCTGGAACTATGGACAGGTGAGACAAATTGTCCCAACTTTGAAAAAGCGTAGTAGTAGTAGTAGTAGTAGTATTATGTGCGTATGTGTACATGTGTGTGTGTGTGTGTGTGGTGTGTGTGCAGACGTGTGTGTATTTTCTCTGTGACATGACCGCTCCACTTTCCCCACAGTTTGAGCCGCTGATCCTGGAGGCGTGTCTGGACCTGCTGGACCGCTCCAAGATGAAAGTCATGTCCCGTGGGAGCCCCGTCACTGTCAGCAGAATTGTGTCTCAAATGGTAAGAAGCAAACAAACAAATAAACAAACAAACAAACAAACAAACAACCAATCAACCGAACGCACAAACTGGTGCAGAAGCATGTACAGTGTGGAATGTAATGTGTCTATGGCAATGTTAGTAGATATAGAAGCTTCTATGGCAATGTTGTAGAAGTGTCAATGGCAATGTTGTAGAAGCGTCTATGGCAATGTTATAGAAGCGTCTATGGCAATGTTGTAGAAGCGTCTATGGCAATGTTGTAGACGTGTCTATGGCAATATTATAGAAGCGTCTATGGCAATGTTATAGAAGCGTCTATGGCAATGTTGTAGAAGCGTCTATGGCAATGTTATAGAAGCGTCTATGGCAATGTTGTAGAAGCGTCTATGGCAATATTATAGAAGCGTCAATGGCAATGCTGTAGAAGCGTCTATGGCAATATTATAGAAGCGTCTATGGCAATGTTATAGAAGCGTCTATGGCAATATTTTAGAAGTGTCAATCAGTCAATGGCAATGTTGTAGAAGCGTCTATGGCAATATTCTAGCGTCTATGACAATATTGTAGAAGTGTCTATGGCAATGCTGTAGAAGTGTCAATGGTAATGTCTGTAGAACCGTCTACGCCTATTGCAATGTTATAAAGGGTCTATTGTTTTTGCCTTCCTTTGTCTGCCACAGGTGAACAGTGCGGACGAGGGCGGCGTGCTTGTGGGGAACTGGAGCGGGGATTACTCTGACGGGGTGGCGCCGTGGGTGTGGAACGGCAGCGTGAGGATCCTGCAGCAGTACCATAAGACCAAAGAACCGGTCAGCTACGGGCAGTGCTGGGTCTTCTCCGCGGTTACCACAACAGGTTTGTGTTGCATTGTCAAATCTTCACTACTCAAAATCTTATAAGGCGTGCACGATAAGTTTTTTTTTATTTTAGTGATCATTTACGCTTTAATCTGGAAGTCTTGTAGTGCTTCTGTTGTTGCACTGGTGTTGTTCTGGTATTGTTTTATGCGTTTGCCTGTATTTTTGGCTGATTGTGCGTTTGCTTGTATTCGTTGGTATTTGAATGCAGCAGAATGCTGTAACAGATAGAGGTAGGAGATAGGAGGTAGGAGGGTTCGGTTACCACAGATTGACCTTAAGGTCAAGTTAGAAGGGAAGTGATGGCTTCACCCATGCAAGTGACACCCGCAGGGATTGTTATATACTGGGCATATCTTATTACAGTGCTTTATGTTATACTTCAAAATTATATTTATTTGTAGATTTATTTCTGCCATTTGTTGATGAGAAGATTTCTTTGTTGTTATTTTCCAGTTCTCCGCTGTCTCGGCATTCCGGCTCGGAGCGTGACCAATTTCTCCAGTGCGCATGACACTGACTGCAGCCTGACCATCGACAAGGTCGTGGACGAATATGGAAACCTGTTAGAGGACAGCGACTCCGTCTGGTCAGTAGCTGTTTGCTTGTTTGTTTGTTTATTTTATTTGCATACATACACATACATACATACCTGAACATGTTTTGTCTTCCTTCTTTAATGCTAACTTAATTGTAATTACGACACTCAAAATTTGTGAACCTAGGCCTAGGAAACTTCGAGTTATTCCCTTCTAAAGCTAAGAAAAACGCCCCTTCAAAATTAAGAAAAAACGCCCTCTACAGTTCCAAACAAGCTGCTAGGATGCCCCTTGGTCTCAACAACTATCGACAACGTAAAAATGATTAACCCAACACTTCTATAGAATGGTACGGCAGTCTAAGATCACTGTTGGCTCCTTCCTAACGTACAGGAACTTCCACGTGTGGAACGAGGCTTGGATGGCCCGTGCGGACCTGCCGAAGGGGTACGGAGGATGGCAGGCCCTGGACGCCACTCCGCAGGAGCAGAGCAAGGGTTGGTGTCCTGCCTAGCCTAGCCTCCTGCGAGTCCTGGCTGCGGCGTTTTTTTTTGAGGGGGGGGGAGGTTGCTAATCGACACGAGTTTCATTTACCACGGAGCAAGTTTTAGTAGTCTCCACCAGACACGCGGAGGCAATCTGGTGGAGACTAGGGTTTTGCCGCGGAGGGAGTACGGTACAGACTTCGTGATATAGACTATTAAATTCCCGCGAAATATCTCGCAAGATTTTGCGGGACAGGTCGCACGATCCCTCGCGAGAACTTGCAGGATGTTGCGAGATATATATAGCGTAGTCGTGATTTGCAGGTCGTGCCTCGTATGGCCTATTAAATGAACCTGCACGAAAGTATAACTTTTGATGGCTTTTGACATCTTTCCCTCCTTCTCAAATCTCTTCATGTTTTGTGTATCAATTCAAGGCATTTACTGCTGCGGTCCAGCCTCGGTGACTGCCATCAAACACGGCGAGGTCCAGTACAACTTTGACGCCCGATTCATCTTCGCCGAAGTCAACGCGGACAAGGTTCTCTTTTTAGATTATGCTAATCAAGACTTAAAATTCCCTATGAGCATTCCCGGCCCTATCACCATGAATGCTGCAACAGTTTCCTGATTTAGGCTAAAGTCTCTAACTTAGACAAGCAAGACGTTTTATGAGTAAATCCAGTTGCTGTTAAGAGTGAGAAAGAAACTACAAAATCTATTCATCGCAATATAGTAAAGGATGACGGATATGGATATGGAGGAAGATATGGATGAAAGATAGACATCCAGATATTGATAAGATACGCCAAAAACAGTCACTAATGCTACTGGATATGATTTTGTAAATGTCAAACGTTTGGGGTAGCATCCACTACCTTTTGTCACTGACACTGGAGAAGTCCCAGCAGATTTTTAAAGCACGAACTATTAATTGACATGCAAATAATTACAGTATAATTACAGTAATAATTATATAGTCTGAAATATAAAGTGAAATAGTAAATTCTCTCTGAAGGGTCAGACGTTTCAGTTAGTACCCACTGTCCTTCATCAGTACCATGTTGTTTCCGTTCATGTGATTGACGTTAATTGATTGACAGGTCCACTGGTGCCAGCAGAGGGACGGGTCGTGTTACGTGGCCGGCATGGAGAGGGGATCAGTCGGGAGGTTCATCAGCACAAAGGTAAATTGTGATGTTGCCGTCTAGTTTTCAAAATTAGGATTATCAGAACACCAACCGACCATTCTATTCGGGAATAGGTCACCAGTGCTCGGTGGTTTTAACTTTGACTCAACTTTGACTCAAATTTAAAATTGACTCAAATTTAGCTTTGACTTTAAAATTGACTGAAATTTAACTCAAAATCATTACTATTCGTTTATAGAAAGTAGGTGTAGACTAGAGCTAGTCCAAGTGCTACGGAACCTCAGCCGAACCTGCAGCTGGTCGGCTTGTGTTCGGGAGAGAACTCGGGGGAAGGTCGTGAAACGGGCCTATCTATCCATTTCGAAACTCCATAATAATGGCAAAGATGCTATTCAACATTTCATCACTAGGCTATCGGGGTGAACGACCGAGAGGACATCACGGAGAACTACAAGTTCCCAGAGGGATCTGGAGAGGAGCGCGCGGCGGTGAGGAGGGCGGCGCAGTACGGCTCCAAACGCCGCAACCCGTACGAGCAGGGCGCCACGGACGTCGAGTTCTCCCTCGAGGATGACGGCTCCGTCCCGGTAAGGCCACCTTATGCTTATACGGCCATCACATTACCCGAAAATCAATCGACCGACGAGTCTGCGACATTTACGGCAGTAGCACGCCCGATGTTTCGTCGAGCATCGCGCGAATTTTTGGAGTCAATTTTTCTCACAGTTGCCACAACAAGACCTGAAGCGTATCTAAGAAAATGATGCTTTCTAGACCATCTTGATAGTAAAAGAAACATCAGATATCTCAAGAGAAATCCATCTTACCCACCTGACAGGTTAACGAGGATGCCGACTGTTCGATCACGATGAAGAACACTTCTAACGAAACCCGCAGTGTGACGCTGCTGTACATTGCCAACATTGTGAAGTACACCGGGGTCCAGCACCAGAAACTGCGCAAGGAGAAGATCGAGATAGAGCTGAAGCCAGGGGCGAGTAAGTACTAAAAGTTTAACGTTATTTAGCTTCGTGAAGAAGGCTATGTTTTTTCCAGGTACTAGACTTTCAGGACTATGAATCTTAACCCCAGTTTAAGTTACAGGTATACACCAATACCTAAGTTTGTCCTTTTTATTTGCCTGTATTATGTGAGGATTTACGCATTCTAATATCAAATTATATTAACAAGATTTCCCGATTTTTAAGTTCTCAAGTTTTGAAAGTGTCATCTTTGAGCTGTAGTAAAACAAGAGAGTCCACCAGCTTTACTGAATAAGATGTAGTTTGTTCAGTGCGTTCTGGTCATGTGCTATGTACACCAGATGTTCAGGTCCGGACCTGTACCTATAGGATTATACAGGTGCTGGTACTAGGTATGGGTAGTAGTGCTAGATGTACAATCCATATCTTTTAATTAGATACCCTTGACCGAGTGTTGACGCCACACTTCAAAGAAGTCATGTGACAAGTCTCACTGGATCAGTCTACTGAGGAAGACCAGAGTGACTGGTCAAAAGTTCTAGGTGAGAGAATGTCTTTGTGTTGGATCAAAAGTTAAACTTTATTCCAACACACAGTTTACAGAGATCAAATTTTCAGTGACCACTGTTGCTCTCATCAGGATAATTAATGACCAATCAGTTCACAACGTGATCCCTGGCAATTTTGAACAATTACTTACGTCACGTATCAGTAAAGTCTCGTGTGAATAAGGTCACATGTTTGTAAACCGTAACTCTCGCGAGATCACGTCGTGAAGTGATTGGTCATTAATTATCCTGATGAAGGCGACAATGGTCGCTGAGAATTTGATCTCTGTAAACTGTGTGTTGGAATAAAGTTTAACTTTTTACTATGATTACTACCAACACAGATGGACTTTCATGATAACAGATGAACTTTGATAATAATCCTAATCTCTGACCATTCCGTCACAGCTGAGAAGTACAACGTGGCCGTGAACCCCATGTCCAACATGGATCACATGGAGGACAAGTGCGCGCTCAAGTTCGTCTTCATGGCGCATGTGCAGGAGACTGGGCAGACCTTCGCCGCCGAGAGGGTGGTCGATATCGACTTCCCGGATCTGGACATCGAGGTGACGTCACTGTTTGTGTGTTTGTTTGTTCTAACTTTGTTTATTCATGAGAAGCTGAAATCGGAATGCAGGCCGCTTTTTATATTATGGACCAATCAGAAGTCTTCATATTGATTATGACACCATAACATTATACCAGTGGTGATTAAATCCCATAAACACCATGGTGTTTAAATGCCATAATCACCGGAACCAATCAGCGTTGACCGTTCTGTTCGATTGACGTCAGATGGAACATGACCAGGCCTTATGGCACCATATACACCTCGGGGTGGGTCATTAACCCTTAGTCCTCATATATATAGCCGGGCGACGTCGACCAATCAGAAGGCTCCATTTCCCCTAGGTTATCAGGCCGTAACCTCAAAAGTGGTTGTTTACTAGAATAACCGACCACTTTTTGGATCGTACCATTATACAGGGGACAGGGCACTAACAGTAGTGTGAAGACATGTAGTATTTATCAATCAAACAACGTACTGTAGTTCATTTGGAATAATCTATTTGAAAATACAACACAATTAATAATATTAGTATGATTATGTATAAATACAATTTAAACAGAAAAAGACTAAACATAATTTTAACACCCCTGTAACCGAAATCTGTGTGTTAGTTAGACAGATCTATGATTGATGATAACGTTAATGCCCCGCCTTATCATCGGTGTATATGATGTGATAATCCCTGGTCAGGTGCGATAACCAAATCATAAACGCTACGCTCACTTGGTGGTTTATTTGATGGTTATCGTACCTGACCAGGTATTATCTCACCATATGCCCCTCGGGGTGCGGCATTAACCCTTTATTATATTAACTGGTACCTTTTAATCCTTCGATGTTTTGTAGGTTCTGGGGAAGACTGACATAGGACAGCAGGTGAGGGTGGCCATCACGCTCACCAACCCGCTGGACCGGGTCCTCACCAACTGCGAGTTCAACATCGAGGGGCCGGGGCTGCAGAGGCCTAAGACGGTGTTCTTCCGGTAAGCTTGACCTGCTCTTTAGTTAACATTTACGCATGCAGTTTTAATCTATGCTTAAAACTTTAATTTGTGTTAACACTTTTTTTTGGTTCAAAAGCATTCTGAGAGTACAACAAGACGATTGCAACAACAATTAGCCCATCACACATTTGAAAACTGGCCAAAGTCTGAAGTCCCGGTTTTTGTTTCATTTACCGTAGGAACATTCGTCCGAGGGAAACTGTAACCCTGGAGGAAAAGTTCACCCCCAGACGTGCCGGTCTGAAGGAGATCGTGGCGAACTTCAGCAGCAGCGAGCTGTGTGACATCACCGGCGAGGCCGAGGTCCGGGTCGGCGTGGTGCTGAGGCGCTAGAGCTGCAGTTTTCTGTATGATCACCAGGAGGCTCTGCAATCATATACTAGGTTGCCAAAGAAAGTCTGTGCTAAGAAAAGATGATAAGCTGGTGGGATTTCAGGTTAGTTATGACAATGATGATGATAACATATTTTTCTGAAGCAATAATAATGGCGTTGTTGCATTGAACCATCAGTCAGTATATACGAATAACGGCGTGCCGGTGCTCCAACTCTAGAGCTGCAGTTTGCCCTACGATCGCCAGGGGGCTCTGCACGCATATACTAGTAGGTTGCAAAAGAAGGTCCGTGTTAATTAAGATAAGATTGAGATTTCAGGCTAGTAGTTATAATGATGACGACTATAGTATATTTTGCTGAAGCAAAAGTGGTGGTATTGCATTAAACCATCGGTATATACGAAGGGAAAACCATTTGGAAAACTAAGACCAGTATGAGTGAACTAATGTCTCATCAAGCACAATTAGAAATGTAAAATAGATTTGCGGCTAGCCCCAGAAGTAGAACGCTCGTGGAATGCATGAAAAATGCAGAGAAAAGCCGATCTATTAGACCAATTAGAACACCTAGCGTGGAAGATATTCCGACACAAGTGGCCAATCACCGGCCTTGACGTCACACCGGGTCAAAGTTCACGTTCCGCTGAATAGCTAATAGTCTGTGACAGGATGGGGGGGGGGGCTCTGGAATGAGACTCAATTATTTTAACTTAGTACATGAAATTATTCACCATCAAGGAACGTCAATATGCGTAGAATAGGAGATAACTATAACAAGCTCGGTAATAGTGACACGGTTGGTATAAGGTGACAATTAAGGGAACATTCGTTATATACATTCCTGTAAGGTGGTCTGATGATGGCAACAGGTGATAGTTACGCACGCATAGCCGATAACAATAGGCACACTGATTAAGTTGTACATGGTGGTTGATGGTGCAGTTTTGCAACGGCTGTGGCAGTTCAAATAGGTGTTGATATAATGTATTCGCTTAGAATACACGAGGGTTACATGGGGAATATTTCTGAGCGTCTTGGTTGATTTAGTGTTTGGTTATGTTGGATTTTGACAATCTCTACTGCTGCTTGGAACTCAAAATAAAGGAGATAGGAACTGTAGACTGACTCTGGAAATTCCTTTTCTCTAGTTAGCATTTTTTTCCCTAAGTGATTCCATTTTCGTGAAATATAAATACACATGATTTTCCGAAATTCTCCACTGTTAGTAATTTCATCTGTAGTAATAGTATAGCAAGCTAATGCAAATGTAGGATTTTTTGTATGTAGGTTGCAACTATGTGTGTAGAACCAATATTGTAATGCATTTCCTTCTTCGGCTAGCAGGTACCGGTGACATAAAGGCGGAATTTGCCTTTCAGTGGCCTTTACGAAGTCGTAAAGTCTACTGAAATATTTTCTCACCTTTAATACTTCTTTATATATCGCGAAAAGTTTGCTTAAATATCTGTTTTCGTGCTGTGTGGAATTGCCGTTGGTGGCTATAAATGCATAAAAGTAGGCTTTAATTCCTGAAGTCAGTGACTTCTGTGTTGTCATTGTGCTCTTGCGAGTTAATCAACTCTCACTCAACACATGAAAACAAACCGTCTGTTGGCACCACATTCGCGCCCTGAGGCGAAACACACACCGGGGGAGATGTCCCGGCACGTTTCTGGGATGTTGGCGGGTACTGAAGCAGTCAGTCACGGGTAAGGACGCGGAACGACACACCGCCTCACAACACTGGGAGACCGCCGCCATAGTGACCACAGCCGCTGCACCGACGCTGTTTTTTTTTATGATCTGGAAATTCAAGTAGTCAGGTTGTAAATTGGTGTAGATTTGTACGTGTGCGGTTCGAAGTGCGATGTTGAACAGACGACAAGTTCGGTTTCCATGACGACCGCTGACTAACTGTCGTCTGCAGGGATCTGACACGGACAAGGTGAGCGGGACTGTCTTGTTATCTTGTCAACACTAAATTTCGACCCTCCACAAACAACTTGGGGAACAAACCTCAAGCACAGGAGCAGGATACAAAATGGCATATAAATTCTAGTCTGTATGTCCAATACGCAAAAAAAAAACAGCTTGTAAACCTGCAATTCTCCTGCAGTATCTTGTGTCACTGGTGGCAAAAAGGTAGTGGATGCTACCTGAAACGTCTGGCCGTTTCCAAAATCATATCCAGTTGCTTGAGTAACTGTTTTTTGGGCGTATCTTATAACCTGGATGTCTAACCTTCACCGACATGTTTGTCCAATATCTTGGGTGCCCATATTCTTCTTTCTCTGCTTATTAGTACGCAGCATTTGGGAAAGAGTATGGTAGTTAAACACACACCACTACCAGCAGAATAGCCCCCTGCTGTAGTGATTAAACAACTGTGTGGCCTAAGGGCTACAGAAAAAGAGATGGGCGCCGCTCTATATGTACAATATACATATATAGGTGCGGGAAGGAACCATGTCTTTTGATTCTACTATCTACAAAGCGTAGTTTGCAACAGCCTAAAGGGATCTGAATTCGTTTAACTGCGGCAATGAACCTTAGCGAAGGTAGGCAGTTGTAGGTCTGCATGGGGGGGGGGTGATTACGAATTACGGAAAATTTTCGCCGCCGATTACGAATTACGTTAAATTCTCAGAGCTGATTACGACTTTACGCTTTGGTGCTTTCCGGCTAATGTACTATTACGAATTGCGTTGATTTTTCGGGAGGGTGCCTGCGGATTACGAAGACTAAAAGGGTCTGATTACGCCTTACGAAAAGGGCATGCAGGCCCCCTTGTAGGAATTTGACTAGGAATGTGACTTGTTCACCCACACGTACAGGGTGACGATGATCACCCAAGACAGTTGTAGTGGATGGTATGACCCATACTGAGTGATGGGAATAGTTTTAGACAGTTGTAGTGGATGGTATGAAACATATAGCCCGGTATCCTGTCTGATCGTGGTCGGGACCGCAAGAGCTCTGTCCCGCCCGCCTCACATAGGTTTCCCGGTGTGTATTTCACGAGAGATTGATTAGCAAACCAAATCCCCAAGCATACTGTCTCTTGTTAGCGTAACACTCCTACCGGGACGGCCTGTTGCACTGGGCGGGGGAAGCTTTTAGAGCCCCCGAAGACACAGCCTGCTTGAACGCCCCAACACCCCCAATCACGTAAGACTGGAAACCAGGCTATGGCCCGTACCGAGTGAAGGTAACAGTTTAAGACAGTTGTGAGTTGATGTTTGACTCTCTCTTGCGGGCGCCCTTCGTGACCGACATGCCCTCTCTCAACAATTCAGGCAGAAATAACTCAGTCAGACCCGGGTTTTGCGCTCCCTGTCTATTCATGACTTTCTGGGGGGAAATAGTCATACCTTAAAGTATACGTACCAGAGTTTTCAACCAAGGACTGTGTTCAAAAACCCACTTCTCCATAGAACTATCGCAGAGTGGAACTCGCTGTCACCAAGTACAGTAGGGGCATTATTAAAAACGGGCATTATCACTAGACCGCTAACATAAACAATGCTGAGAATTAGATGTTGAGGTAGGTAAGGTATATCATTATCAACTTCGATCGGTGTGATATAGTTAGCTGCCGCTGCGCCGCGTGCATGCATGCGAGGCTGGTGTGTTACGCTGAAGGGCGGTTATACCGGCCATACAGATACAGGTACAGAAGCTGGTGTGTTGCGCCGAAGGGCGGTTATACCGGTACAGATACAGACACGACATAACCTTACAAATCCCTCCACAGAGGGAGTTTTGCGGTGGAAGTTTGTACGGGTGATATAGCTCTCTCTCCGTGCGGATACAGCTCTCGCTCCGAACAACGTACACAGTACTTTCCCGAAAAGAAACAGCCGCTCCAGCCGCTCGTACTAGAAGCACTAGAAACCTGGACGGGTCAGAATATATAGCTCGCCAAATGACATTTTCTGTACATTTGTCCCAGCACATATGTGACAACAAATCGCGTACAACTTAAGGAGAAAACAAGGTTCTGCATTAGCTAAAACAGAAGGGCAAGGCTACGTAAGGCCATGTTGATTTGATCGTATGGATGTCATCCACGCGCGCATGAATTTTCGTCAGTTTCTTAAGATGAGGTTTTCAATTATACTGTTAATTGTAAAAATGAGCTGCAAAATTAGAAAATGCATGCCAATAATTGCAAAAAAAGCATTCAATAACGATACTAATGTTGTAGAATGCCAACATCAATTCGGATTCCAAAGGAAAAGAAGAAAATGTGAAGAAATGAAAATAAAGAGTCTATTATTCGCTATACCATAGTGTGTGTGTTTAGTCATTTGTGCATGCGACCTCCCTGATCACGTACGTAGATTTCATAATGACATTGACAAGAAAAATGTGCTGATATAAGACTATGTGCTAACCTTAAGTTCAACGTGTACGATATACTTAGATTGGCCAGAAAACGTAGCCTTCATATTGCACATCTACTGTTTATCCTGTATGTATACAAACGTTATTAGATTGTGATCTCTACTTAAATCTAATAACGTTTGTATACATGCAGGATAAACAGTAGATATGCAATATGACGGCAACGTTTTCTGGCCAATTTTTTTATTCGCACGCTCGCATCAGTTTTGGGGTTCCCAGAAGATGTCATCCATATAATCAAATCAACAAGGCCTTACGCAAACGGAGCAGACTTAGACATGAAGCCTGTGGTGATTGAAAACGCTATCCACTGCCTGACGAACCGCTTTCCGTTTTCCCGCCAATCTTTTAATTCGCACGCTCGCATCAGTTTTGGGGTCCCAGAGGATGTCATCCATTTAATCAAATCAACATGGCCTTACGCAAAAGGGGCAGACTTAGACATGAAGCCTGTGGTGATTGAAAACGCTGTCCACTGTCTGACGAACCATTTTTCCTTTCAAGTCGGCCGGATGAAACGCTTGTATCGTCAGTGTGTTCCACAGCTGGTGTTGAGAGATGGCCTTCATTGTCAGGCCGTGCGTCTGCTCGTGGCAGCTTGTCCAAAGCCCTTTGGACGGAGCACAATGAGAAGTGGACAGGAAAGGCCTGTCTCTGGCACTAGAGAGATAATCACCCAAAGTTGCCTATGCATGTTTTGTATCAGAGACACCGCACTGGATGCCAGACCTTTAGCTATCCTCCTGTGCAGGCTAAGGGGCGGGTGGGAATTTTGACACAGCGTTTTGAAGAGTTTTTAACGCGTTATTTCAATAGCCGGCCATCCTACAACCAGCCTCGAGAGAAGGTTCCATTCCGCCGGATCAAAATTCCCACCCGCCCCGGAGCCTGCACAGGAGGCTAACCTTTAGCCTTTACCAGGCTTCAGGAGGCGAATTTTGCGCCTCCTGTTTTGTAACAGACACCGCACAGAACGTAATGCCTGGATGCCAGGCCCCTAGTCTCTACCAGGCTTCGAGAGGCGGCCGGAAAGAGTAGAATTTGGCCAAATAGAGATATAACATGCCAGGGCAGTTGGTATGGTAGAGAGTACATTTGTGGACCAACTCCACAGGCATATCATCTCTCTTTTTGGCCAAATTCGGACTCTTTCCAGCCGCCTCCCGAAACCTGGTAGAGGATAGCCAGACCCCGACTGGACCAAGCAAAGGTTTTGGGGGTATTTTTGACGTGTTTTTAGGCTTACTTATCGGGGTTTCTTTCTCATTCCAACTCGATTGGATTGGCATGAAAAAAACCTCGGGGCTTGGATACTATGGATACGGCCTGGCCAATTTTATAGTACTGTCTTTGCAGCCACCGAAATATGTGCTTGGGAAGTACTCCGCTACCAAATCAGTACAAGGACCACTCGGTATCACTAGATACTAAAATATTCTGCTTTCTACTTAACCCTTAGGTCCCGAAGAAGGTTTATTTAAGATAAATATTTTTTTGATTGAGGAAGGTTAAAGAATCAGGGTCATGACCCTATTGTAAATATAGCCTCTTATTGGTTAATTAAGATTCCAATATAGCACATTCACCCTTTTCCCCCATCCAGGACTTAACAAGACAATAGCCAGTGGGCTGTAGTCAGGGACAAAGTCCAGGGGTGCCAGAGTATACAGTTTTACAGTATACAATGTTACGGAATACAGTGCAATTTTACGGAATACAGTGCAATCGTATCAGTATACAGTGCAATTTTACTAGTAAAATTGACTATACTAGTAAAATTGCACTGAATGCCAATACAATTGCACTGTATTCTGTAAAATTGCACTGTTTACTAATACGATTGTACTGTATTCCGTAGAATTGCAATGTATACTAGTAAAATTGCACTGTATTCCGTAAAATTGCACTGTATTTCGTAAAATCACACTGTATACTCTGGCACCCCTGAAGTCTAGTACCGAGGGACGAACCAAAACATTCAAGTCATGGGCAGAGAATGTACGGTAACCCAGCCGAAAGGTCCCTGCTAAATTCGCAGAGAGATTTGTCCTTGGGAGTTAAAGGCATCCAATGTAGTTTTTAGGGATTGGAAACCCGATTTTTCAAAGCCAACATTCCAGTCATTTATTTACATATTAGTGAGTTGAAACCACACTGTCCCAGTGTATATTGACTGATGATGATGATGATGTATATTGACCCTGATGGAGCAAAAATTCCCAAAAGTTCTGACAGAAAATGGTTACTGGAAGGACTCTAGACTGATTTTTAAGGTACCACCCAGAAAATAAAGAACTCATCTTAGGGCTTGTTTCTGCAGTTTCATATGCCTACAGTATGAAATACTGACTCAAATGTGCTAATGTGAATAAGTATGTGTGAATACCCTGTTACTTGTGTTAGGAAATACTGCCTTAGTCAGAATATTTCCGGTTTTGCTGCCCTGAAATCGCATTGGATGCCTTTAAAACAAATGTTGGGTCAGAAATTTCAAGTAAGTCGTGTGACAAATAGATGAGTCTTGACTGACAAGAATTT